TTTCATGGAAACAGAAATGAAAAATGGTTACTCTCATAAGATAACGATAATTTCAACAAGAAAGACAGAGTAGTTATACATTGTTCTATATTGCATGTAGGTTGGCTCCAGACTTTTTATAAATGGAACTTTGCAATGGATTGCTTCTGTTGGTAATGTGATTTTCACTGATTTCTCAGGAAACAAGAGGGTGGTGAGACATAAGGAGAAGGGAATGTTTTCAAGCCAAGAGAATGGTGGAAAATTGGTGAATCTTTAATATTTAATCTTGAAAAGCTACAGGACTGCTTTGTGCTACATTTGGAAATGATCCAATAAACTTGACATCTGCTTTCGTAAATGGTTGTCTACAATGGAATAGTTGCTAGAAAGTCAGTCATGATCACCAACACTGATGGGGCAGGGTATGTGTGTCTTTCTGATAATGATAGTCAGCAAAGCTTTTGTAGAAGGACTGGTGTGGTCTAGCTGCCCCTTAAAGAAGAGTGGAGCTGCCTGAAGCTCCTAGAAAAATTGGAAGACTTCTGGGATGGATGAGGGCTGGGAGACATTAGGAAAAAGGCAAGAAGAGCAGCTCAAGAGCAGCCTCAAAGTTTGGCAATTGATCAGAGGCATAGATTGAAATTAACAAACTCCTCCATGAGTAAAAGGACTATCTAATTGTCTTACTGGTAGCTAACAAAGCAATGGAGGCATTGTTTTGCTGTGACAGTTGTCCTCTCCATTTATCCATTCAAATGTGGATGATGGGCTGAGGAGAGATGAACCTTTCTATTTAACAACTGAAATAGGACTTTTCAGAAATGTGCCATGAAGTGTAAGCCTCTATCTGAAATCAGATTATTTCAGGCATGGAAAGGAGGCACCAACAGAGAATTAACACAGAATGAAGAAGACCATATTTTTCTAACATCTTAAAAAAGAGATTGATTATTATCAAGACAAAAATGAGAAGACTGACATGTGGTAGATCAATTATAAAGTCCATGGAAACTGTATCCCAAGGCCCTTGAAGAGTAGGGAATAGTTACAGCAGGCCAGTAGACTTCCTGTTCTGAGGCCTGGCATAGCAACAAATGTCACACAATGTCAGCCTTGTGAGGTAGTCCAGATAAGAAGCACATCTAGAAGTACTAGCTCTCCATTTCTCCCATTGCCTTTACAGCTCAAGAAACTAGGGAGGGTCCCTTCTGAAACATTTGCCATACCCCTCATTCCTGCTATGGACTAAGTTGCCTCTTATCCGACCATTGCCCTGGCTGTTGCTCTTCCCCATCTCCCAGATCATTCCCACATACAGTACCATTACATACAATGAGGTAATTCTTGACATCTATTCCAACATAAAGTCATAATGAAGATGGGTAGTTTTAAATACTCCCAAAAGAGTCGGTCAATTCTAAATTTGATGGGGTAACAAGCACACTCTAGGAGATGATGCCAGGATGGAGGGCATCTTTGGTGGCCCAAAGTTCCTCATTAAAGACATAGTGTCATTCAGCTTGTACTAGCTGTCGAGAAAAGATGGCACAAGGCAGGAAATAGCTTCAAAACTTCAGAGGAGATTGGATAAATACAGATCCCAAGATGAAATCAAAGGCAACAGCTTGTACAACAAAAGAGGCAGGCAGAATCTGGACAATGGAAGATGAATTGAGAAGTCAATGTCTGACTGAGGTGAAAACTGAACTTAAAATATGAAGTTAAAAGCAGCACCCATTGTGTGACCAGAATTGCAAATTTAGGAATAATTCTATGGTAAAAATAGGCAATCCCAAGAAACACTGTAAGTCTTTCATAATGCAGGGGTTCTCCCAAGACAATGGATTGTTAATTTAATAAAAAAAGTTTTTATGAAAAAATAACCCCCTATATTTACACTATCTAAATCACAGGCATCATACAATGATAGGAGGTTATAATTTTCCCAACTTTCAACTGTATGATGAGTCACATATTTTTATTTCTACTAATACTTTAGATTAGCTTTTTTTTTTTTAAATGTTTCACTTATTACAAGAGGAATTTGGATTGTTTAAACTTGCAGGATGGTAGAATATTCAATGAAAACATTTTTTTGGCCCAGATGCATTAGCAGTGTCTAAAAATCCTGAATCAGTAGTAAAGACTACTTTGGACAATTCCAAAATTGTAGTATTTTTAAAATAAATAATTGAATGGTATTGGTAATGTGGACATTCGTTATTTTCAGGGGTTTTGTAATAAAGAGCTGTAATGCCCAGTAAGGGCATCTGCTGAAGAAATGCCACTCTTTTCCACAAATATTGAACTTTACTGGCCTTTCAAAAGTGGGGGCCTCATAAGTAGTGGCCATGTGCCACAATATAAATATTGGCCTAGTGCATGATGGTATAACTTCTCTTGGGCAGTAATCAGAACTCTGTTGCATTCCACTCATTTTAAATTCCCAAAGGCTCTAATATGCAGATTAAGGGGGAAGCAGAAGAGAGAATAATGGCACCGATGCTCACCTACAATTCCTTGAGTCTTCCATCAATGCCTAAAGAGATCTGGATTAATGGCAGTCATTGTGCTGGGGTGCCTTTACTATTAGCTCATCTCAAATTTCATCAGACAATCCCCACCCCCACCCCCACCCCCTGAACTGGCCAATTAAGCCTCTCTTATTATCTATGGGCTCACAATAGCATATAGAAGACTGGGGCTTACAGTGTAAGAGGAATAAATGATAAAAGGCATAAATAATGAATGAGTTGAAGGAAATAAAAATAGATGTGTGTCTGTGAAGTTGGGAGAAAGGAGTAAGGATGTAAAAGATCTGAATGAAGGTGGTCTTATTTTGGGGAGTAGAGTTGATGAATACATCAGGAAGTGAAATGTAGGGTTAATTATGAAAGTAAGGGCTAAAATATCTATCAGAAAGTATGAATTGGTGTCATCCAGGTTGCTGTGTGTGAATATGTAAATAAAAATCTATAGACTGCTGATAATTGCATGTTATGCTCCAGTAATAATTGAAGAACCAGGGATAAGTTCTGAGAAAAGATATGCAACACTTTGAATGTGATCCTGGAGCAAAATTACTCTGTTGGGTGACATGAATGGTTGGTTGCAAACAAAATGATAGAGTATAGAAAACATGACTGGTTTTCTACAGATATGGACAGAATGAGAATTGAGATTGTTTCAAGAGTATCTAATTAGAAAAAGGTCTGTTTCAAATACATGGTTTTAGCATATATCCATACAAACATAGGGAAAAGGAATGAATATAAATCTAATAGTAAGATTTATCTGAAAGTTTATGATAGAATGGTATCATGAATGATCTAGTATAAATTAAATTTACCTATATTTCCTTTCATTGTTCTTATTACATGCACTAATTCCTTTGGTTTACTATTTGTAAGTATTTTGAAAAGTATAATAACCATTTTATTTGAACTGCTAGGTGTTTTAACTTTGATGGAATATCATATTTTATACCATAAAAAATACCATACATATTTTATAAAATAGAAGACTATCATAATGAGACTTCTTACAAAAAGATATATTAAAAGTTTGCAGTGATATGGGTATAGGAGACTGGGCTTATTCTTTTATGGGATGCCCATTAATCACAAATATAACTCAATCTTGGTCAGTTTATAGATAAGAAGTCCAGTGCAAGTTTCCCCGACTCCACTTCTGTTCTTTTTACTACAAAGAAATATGTATTTTTTTTAAGCTGGCAGTCAGCAAAACCTGATTTCCACTAGACTGCAGATGAACCAGTATTCAAAAGTACTATAACAGTATTGGACTAGCTTAGAACTCACACGTTTTACAGGAAATTCTGTTTTACCATCTGGAAACATTCACAGATTTTTAAAATGTCATAGTTTTCTTCTTCTAAAACATATCTACCATTCATCCATACGCTGTACCTCATTAATAGCTACAAAAGCTAATTGTAATTAGATAAGCAATTTGACTTCAAAATGCAGCATAAACATCTAGAGGAATGCTAGCATTTCAAGGGACAACTCATTCAGTTCCTGTTTTTTCAAACCTTCCATACAGATAGATGAAGAGGCTTCGTTATACCAAAAATAGCCTGACTATTAAGAAGACAGTGTGATATACTGTATAACCTATACTGTAATGGAGTACTATCAGGGTAAACCTACAAAAAGACTTAAAAAGGTAAATATAGAGACAAGTAGATGAAGAAGGCGAATTGCTTGGACAAAGATAAGCTATTTAATGGGTCAATGGATTATGGGATTTTATTGACAATGACTGCACAGAGACCCTCTTCTAAAACTGTCAAACACAATCTATCTCCTCCATTCCTTTATCTGCAGAAAGTCCAAGAGATTATTTGTCACAATGACTAACCACTTCAATCAACTCTATTGAAATATACTGTTTCAATTGATTTCTCCAGTATAGTTTGCAATAACACAAATCATTTTAAACATACTGCTTGCTAATTTGTTTGATTTTATGAAACATAGCTTCAGCAGAACATTTTTCAAATAGAATTTTATTAAATCATTATTTTCTTTTTAAAATAAGCATGGGCTGTATTTCATGTTGCATGAGAGCTACTTTCTCTTCTAAGCTGAATTTCCTATTGCAGTTATTTGTCATAACAGCCTGTAAATTATTTGTGGGGAGATTCCTTTTCTACAGGGCAATCTCCTACGCTACTTCTCAAGCATTTCTTAAGAATGTCTTAGGATTACTCAGTAAAAACTATTTGAGGGTGCTGTAGTGGTGAAAAAACCACGAAAGCTGTCTTATATGAGTAAACTCATAACGATACGCTCACCTTCTCATTAGAGTCCACAGTATCCTATCCAGTTCTAGAGTATACAGAATGACTCTACTGAGAGCTGTAGGTTTGGTTTTGGTTTTGTTGGTGACCCTGAGGTTAATTTTCAATATTATACTGGACTTATATGATGCTCATGATGTACTGAAATTAATTCTTCTACTCTATTTTTCTAAAAATATTCAATATATTTTACCTGCGTGGATCAGTTGAAAGGTTCTTTCTTGTTTCCAAGGAAGTCCTGAGATAGTCGTAAAAAAATACAATTAAAATATTAAACATACAATATTAGATAATATGAAAAAAAAATTCCTACACAAATTACCCAACAAGTTACTTAACATTTATGGATTTTATTTTTGAAAATGGCTAGCTTTGTGCTATGTTTAAAAGCTCATAAACAGAGTCTATATGTTGTAACATATATTTTAAAATCTTTAAATTAGTTTTTAAATGAAAGCTTTGACTGACTGCCATATGAAGAAAAGCTACAAAAAGTTTTATCGTTAAACATCATTTTTACAAATCTTTGAAATCTGAAGTATAAATACTCATTAATGAATCTATATTGTCATTCTATAATGGCATGCAAATATATACCTGCATTATTGTTATATATTATACAGTCTGTTTGCACTGATACTTAGCATACTTCTCTTTATTTACATGTTGCTCCCCAAATCTTCAAAAGTATGTAATTCCAGTACAACCAATTAGCATGTCCTAACATAAAGATCTGTACTAATTAAAGCAATATAAACAAATTGAAAACACAAAGAACAGAAAGTAATTTATACATAATCCACTGTTCATCTAACCCTTACATGAGTAAAGATGCCTTACGGAGTAATTTTTATCTGTATGCTACAGCTACAGATTATGGTTTTACTATAATACTACAATTTGGAGATTTCTATTATGTTATGCTATAATTTCACATATACCAAGGGTTAACTCTAATCATACGGAAATTTATTTTAGAGAAGAAGTCTTATATACATAAACCAAACATTATATTATTATTCTTTTTATTAATATATTGCTATAGCATTGTATTAATTTATATCTTTCTCCTTCTCTCTTGACATTTCTATGAAATGGCTAAAAATGCAATTATCTTCCCTTTCATCATAGGAACAGATGGATCTTTGTAGATCAACTGCTTTAACGCATGGTTGGAGTCACTGTGGTCTGACATGGCAGGTGGGATGTGTAGTTAGTTGTGGAATGAAGTGTAAAGTAAGAGGAGCCCTATGGACTTGGAGGGAGTGGGCAGGGAAGGGTTGAGATGGAGGGAAAGGGCAAGCGATAACATCAGGATGATTGGGAGAGGGATATTTGCAGGAATTGGAGGGTAGGCTGCTCACAAGGAAGATGGTTTCAATGTCTACAGATCTCACCTTCTGGCCCCCAGTATTCATCCCCGATACTAGATCCTCAGAGGTTCTGGGCTCCATCTGTTGTTATTAAATGCCTGGTTGGTATTAAATAAGGCTATCCCCACTATGACTTGATTGTGGATGAGGAGCTGGCCTGGCATGTACAGTACTGTGCAAAAGTTTTAGGCAGGTGTGAAAAAATGCTGTAAAGTAAGAATACTTTCA